AGAAGGTGCTTTTACCGAACAATGATGAAATTTCAACAAAATCATCAATCTCATAACTATAAGATGATTCAATTACAGAAAGAGATACAATGTGCCAAAAATTATAAAATAAAAAATTGAATTGTTACACTTTTTACTGAAATTAAGCTTTGAATGTGTTGCCAAAATTTAACTATCGCATACGTTGTAAATTATGAAAGAAGTATAAAAATGTAACAAAAACACTGGTCGCGCAACGCGCGACAACAAAAGCCTAGTACTTAATATAAAGGCACAGTAGGCAAGAAATTAAATGCCCAAAAAATATTCAGGGCCACCTTCAAATTGATCTCGTACGTCGGATGGTCTTGATATGACGTCAGCAACTTATTGGGGGCAAAAAGGAGAATGCATAAATTCAATTTCAAATTAATGAATGAGAAAAAATATGAATTTTTAGTAACCTTCAAATTGATCTCGTACGTCGGATGGTCTTGATATGATGTCAGCAGCTTATTGGGGGCAAAAAGGAGAATGCATAAATTCAATTTCAAATTAATGAATGAGAAAAAATCTGAATTTTTGATAAAAAAAATCCTCAATCTGAATTTTTAATAAAAAAAAACCCTAGATATCAAAACAACGTCATTTTATACCCTTATTTTATTCCCAGTAGTGAAAACTGCGACGTTTTTGTATCAATGTTTTCTTTTTAAAAAGAAATTTTGTTGAATCCCCGAAACAAAATGACCACAAATTATACTTGCGCTTCATCTTTCTTTTTTTCCTTCTTGTTTTTTAACCTCTCCCTCTTTTTTAAGACCTCTATTTACGCTGATACCCCACCGTTTTTTGGGACCGAAGGATTATGTATAAAAATTTGTTACAGACACGAATTGAAACCGCAATTCCTCTGCCGTGACTAAAACACGAATTGAATTGCCGCCGCTAATCACCATAACCTCCGTGCAGAGTTGTTGAAGTTTATCGTCGGAATGTTTGTCGATTGAGTCCATAGATTTGATTTTGTAACCTTCACCGGTGAGACTTTTGGGGACGAAGAAAAGAGCAGTAACGAGAAGAGGAAGGGGTTTTAATCTTGATCGATCATAGATCGTGGTGCTAGACAAGATTTGAACATTATTCTATATACACTACTTTTTTATTTTTCTTTTTCTTTCTATTTGGGCTCTAATTCTATTGCTGCGAAGAGTCGCTCACCGAATTTTCCAGAGGGTTTTTCCTCTTCGCTCGCCACTACCGTGGATTGTGCCACCAACTCACTCATCGAAAAAAAAAAAAAAGTTCGGTCTTTCGTACTATTCTTCTGCTTCTTTTCCTTGGAGTCTACTCCTAATCTTTTCTTCTTCTTTTTTGGTTGATTTTTGTTGGTGTTTACATTGCAGAACTTTCTAATAGGGTAGAAACCAGAATTGCATAATTTCCACTATTTGTTTCGTTGAGAACTCTCCGCGCAAAAGAGGACACCAAACCACAACAAATGCCAAGGACAATCGAAGGACTATTTTGCTTGGGCTTTCCGTAGTTCCTGAATTTTTATTCTCCAAAGGTTTGTTTTGGTGTAGTTCTCTTTTATTATGATTTGTTTTGATTACGCTTTTACCATTCAATAGGGAAATAGTTCTGCATCATGAAATCTTGAATGATATCTAATCTTGTCTATGCTCACTGAATTTCACTTGGTCCTAATCTTTTCTTATTTTTCTGGTTGCCTAATCTGTTGTTTTTTTTTCATGAATGTTCCAATTAAACTTCGTGGAGATGGTATCATCTTCGTCGTCTTCCTTGTAAGAATTTGATTATTTATTCAAGTTATTGTTGATTGGGGATTATGGAGTAGAAAAAAGTAGTCCTTTGCTCAGCTTTACTCCAGATATCTTCAAAGATCTCTCTCCTACCATAAGTAATACTGATTTTATTTTTCTCTTTCATATATTTTGTATTAAAACGAATTTGAAGTTTTGATCTCAATATTCACATATGGTTATGATTTTGGATGGAAAGGTAGGATTTTACGACAATGTTTGAGTTGCTAAATTCTATTTAATCCAGCAGAATTTCATATAATTGTGTTTGTTTTAGGTTGTTGTCGGTTAGTCATCGAATTGAACTCTTTCAAAATATGAAAAATTATAAGGAGAGTGAGAAATAGAGAGATATTGTTAGCAGAAATAACAGAATTGTGAAACCTGAGCCATGTTATAAGGACCTTTGCAAGATAGTTCCTTTTTAAAATTTCTTTTTTTGAATCCTATTGAATTGGCCGAATGTTTGTTCTTCTTTACCAATATTGGAGAAGTTGGAGACATATTGGGAGCACCGGAATTCTATGAATGTTCATTAATTAAATTTAATGGACAGGATTAATGAACATTAATGCACCAGAATTATTTCCTCCCTAAAAGAATCCCCAAAGTTACTACTGGACTCATTTAATTAATCCCTCTAAAAAAATCTCCCTCCCAATCATTTAAATCAACAGACTACAATTCAAAAAAAAAAAAGAAAACCAATCACTCAACACTAATGTTATCTTTAAAATCTTCTCCCAAAACATGACCCTGTATTTTTCGTCAATAAAAAAGAAAAAGAAAAGGTACAAAATTTGCCTTAAATTATTACTAAAAGGACGGGATTTAACTATAATTAAATGTTATCTTTTGAATTTCAAACCAATGCATTTATTTGTGTAATATCATATCTATCCAAATAAATATAATGTTTCCTTAATAACATCTCGAAAATTATTATAAAATTTATCTTTATCACTGAAATTTTGGATAATCAATTATCATCAATCCCTATTTATCTCTATTTATACATGCCACACAAACCATGAGTATGTTCCAGTGCTGCAAAAATTTCCCCGTCCCAAAACAACCTGAAATCCAAAGATGAAAGGGCAAAAATTTTAGCCCTACAGTTGGTTTGTTGTTCTAAAAGTGATGAACTAATAGTGGGTCGATCGTGTGGCATGAGAGGTAATGGTTAATTAAGGTTATATATGATTTTTTTTTCCGCATATTCTTCTGCAAAATGATGTTTTAGAGTTCTGTTTTAGACATTACTAAATTTATGTTTTTTTTACCCATAATTTCATTATTTTATTAATTATTATTTTCTATTTTCATAGCAAAGAGGGATTAAAAGGCAAAAATTTTAACTCTACAGTTGGTTTGTTGCTCTAAAATATTAAGTATTGGGCCAAACGGTACCATAGAATCTTTAATTACAACAAAATAACCATAAAAATTTTAAATTTCACACTTCAGTCACACATAATCTACCATCTACTATTGATAATTACGTCATTATGTATGTTACGCATACAATCATTTTATCTTTTCATTCAATATGTAACATTAATACAATCTTATTTATTTTACTCTGCTTATGAGTGTTATTCTGCAGTTCTTCTACTTCAATAAAAATCAAGTGAACACTTGCATTTCAAATGATATGCATTATTTTATCTTTACAATTACGCCTTTATTCAATTTTAGTTGTGTAATGTATCTTAGTATGGACTCCAAATACATTTTATACTTTTTTTTTCTTAGTTTTATAGTATTAGTTAACTAGATATTAAACCCGCACGATGTACGGAATTCATTTGTACACGTTTACACAAAATTATCCCTTTTACCCTATTAAAGCAGAAAACAGGATGCTGATGTGGCAATTTCTTATTAAAAGATTTTGGCTCAAACTGCACCATATTGCATAAACCATTCTGCCACGTGTCACCTCCTTTTAAAAACAAAAATATATTTACAATATTAACGAAGAGATCAGATGGCCATGTTCATTCAAATTTTGAATTTGACAGTGAATAGAACTTTCCTTCTCCACTTATTTAGGACTTTCTAAAAAATTAATTTTCGATCAATCAATTATTTTCATCAAAAACTAAATTCATTCCTAATCAGTTTTGATTATTTACATATTAATTTATTAGGTGGGAGGACGTCCCGGGCATTTGCCAATGCCCGGGACAAGCATCTAGTTTTTAATTAAATACCCTGTGCACAAATGAAGTTATTGATTTACTGTAATAAATAATATATTGAGTAAAAATAAAAAAATATGTTATCATGAATAAAAATATTGCCTATGTTATGAAATGATAGTTTTATATAAATTGAAAGTAAAAGTTTAAGAATGCAATTAAAAAAAATATTATACGCCTAAAAGTAAATGAGACCGCCATCATAATAAATAAAAATATTTCATGTCATGCAAAATAGAAGTATTTTGCGACTGCAAGGGAATAAAAGACAATAATATGATAATCATCCGCATAAAAATATATTAACGAGGACTTTGAAGATTATAGTTCTGTAAATTTGTGTTAATAATTCTAGTTCCATAATTTTTTTCATAATTAGGTGTAATTAATTACAATTATATTTCTTCTTGGGTGATTCAAGTGTCATTTGGAGGACCTAAAGATAATTATATTAAGTACTCCTTGTCAGAATAAATGAAAAAATTACACCTAAGATTTTGTCCTAGGTGTCACCTTAAAAATCATTTTCATATTCTTTCCTCCGTTTCTCTATTTATATATAGTTATAGATAGATAGATTTTGCAAAGCAATATACTATATGTGAGAAATGCAAAGCTAGGCTTTTGTACTAATCTTATTCAACAAAGTGGATATTTTTCAAGACAAATGAAAATTATACCGGGGAAAAACTTAAAAGGAAAAAAAACAAAGAAAATAAAAAGGAAAAAGAAGGCCTCAATCCCATAAATAATAAATCATAAATAGTTCATTCATAGTATTATTCTCCCCAAAAGTCTCAAACCTTTTGTAATGTGATAAATAAACAAACAAAAACAAGAAACGAATCACTCATCTTCAGTTTCAGATTCAGCATTCTGAAGCCATTCAATGAAGGGTTTGGAGTTTTCCCAAATTGAGGAATCTTTGTTAGCCTCTGCTGCCAGACCTTCCTGGTACCACTTCAAAATGCACTCTTCCTCCAAGATATCTTCATCGTACAAGGCTTTCAGAACCAACGCAACTTCCTTCACGGCAGCTGAGTTGTTCAGCTTCAAAAGAACTCCTCAATTGCATGAAGAAGTAGCAACTGTCCATTTTCATCCTGGGAAACAGCAACAGCAAAGTAATCCTTTTCTTCAGAACCTCTTTTCGGAAAACCTTCTTCACACCATCAAGAAGGGCCTCGAATAGAGCAGACATTACTTCCTGAGGGGAACCGGATACGGATGCTAACGCCGACTTCAGTTGGTCTGCAGAAGCAACTCCCTTCTTCAAAATCGCTTTTACATCCTGAAGAATCTTCTCAGGTGAAGTAGCTTTCTGGCGGCCTCCACGAGGTTTATTATTATCTGCTGCCTTTGACTTGCGATCTGTTCCCTCATCAGTTGTAAGCATAACCATATCAGCAGTTACTGTATTCAACTGTTCTTTGATAGTAAGTTTAGCAGCCTTCGATGATGTGTCTATTTGCCACTCAACATCATCATCGTCGTCTTCGTCATTCATACGGCCTCTAGATGATGAACCATGATCATCATCATTACTGGAGGGAACCATCTTCTTCTTTGAGTCTTTCTTCATCTTTTTCTGCTCCAAATCTGCAGACTCCCCTTCATTCAAACGCTCTTGTTCAGCTCTCCGGAATGATCCCTTTTCGGCCTTGGGCGGATTCTTCAGGATGAAGGTAGTGAGCTTATCCCTCATGTCCACATAAGAGATGTTTCCACAAGCCTTACATTGCAGCTGGACCATCTGACTCTTGGTAACGATGATATCCGTCTCCGGGTTCTTGCAATAGTAACACTGGACATACTTCTTGATGAACACTTCAAGAAGTCCAGCCAGTTTAGCAGTCTCATGAGATCCATTAACCTGTGAAGTTCCGGTTTTCTCGATGAATTTGGATATGGCTCCGAGCTGAGTACCGAAATACTTGGTCGGATACGACGGCGGCCTCGCCAGAGCCTTGGCGATGTCGACCATGTTGACAATGTTGGTCTTGATTCCGTTTCCGCGGCCCTCGATCTTGGTGATCATCTTGGGCATCTTGTATCGGTAAAAGTTATCGCTGTTGCCGGAATCGATGTTGAGCAAGTCCTTGTTTTTGTTCGGCGACTCCATATTTTCTTCTTCTTCTTAATGCTCAAAATCATAAAACGGTAGATCCAAACAGCCAAATCGTTCGATAAAACCTATGTTTCTTTTTCCTAGGAAAGTATTCGCCAAGCAATCCAATTGAAATTGTATAGTAAAGCGCTTCTTGGAACATATAAAAAGTTTTGCGTTGACAACTTCGACTGTTTATGCCTGAAAACCAGATCTAGAACAAATTACTCAGGTGAGCACAGATATTTAGATCTAGGTAGGGTTAAACAGATTAAATTACGTTGGCAAAGAGACCAAATTACAGTTGAAAGCTGATGGAACCTGGAGGCGATTTCCGAATATCCTTGCGCTTCTGAGACTGAAATCGATCGAGAGAGATAGAGAACAGTTATGTCGGCAAAGAGAGGACGTATACGGCCTCCGGCGATGTAAAAGCTAGGGTTTTATATCGAGAGTGCTAATTGTAAAGAAATAATAAAAGGAAAATTTACGAGAACAATAATCTGGATATGCGAAAGCTCCACATATTTAACCAGACCTTTTCCCAAGTGAAATCCGAATTGGAATGGGCTTCAACGTCATATTTTAAAAAAGAAGAATATATATTTGCTTTTACTTATTTGATTTGGTTGATTGAAATATATTGAATGTTTTAGTATTCCTCTAAAAATAATTATTTCAAAAATTAAGCCTGAATGAATTAGGAAATTGAATTATTTGCAATAATTTTTCCTTTTAATTTAATCAAAAATTAAAGACAAAATCATTCTGAAAAAATTAAGGACAAATTTTGTTCCTTTTCTTTTTCTAACTTGAAAAACATGAAGGCAGATTTCTTATTTTTAATATTTTTGAGATGAAAACAATCTAATGGAGGATAAATTATTCCTCCCTCTGTTCCATAACTATTGTCTAATTTAAAATTTCACTTTTAATATAATTTAAACTAAAAATCAAAATCTAAACTGGACAATAATTTTTGGACGGAGGAAGTATTATATAGCAATCGAGTTTTTATCATGAGTTACATGTCTTGTGTACTAAATCAATGCATAATTTTTTCCTTATCAGGGCAACCATGGTGCAGTCGTCGTGTTGAATATTTCCTCTTATATTAAGATAGTGCATGTTTATTGATTATGCATCCTCCGTTGCTTCAAATTATCCTTTCTTTTTTTGCAAGGCCGAAAGTTGGTGGCTTCTGGCATTTTACTACTAATAATATTCAGATCCTTGTTCCAACGATTGATGATTAGTGAACAAACCTTTTATCCTGTTAGTCACTGGCAACGCTTAATTCAGCAACAGAGATTGTCTTTGCTTTCCTACCGCCATACATGCACTTCATGAACCATGAATATCTTCTTATAGTAATCCCGAATTTCATTATTTTGTGGAAAAAGATAATAATCAAAATATATATATATATTGTATATGTGTGTATATATGTATATTGTACATGTGTGCGTGTGTGTGTATATATATATGTACCCTATTAATTTAAAAGATTAAATGAGAAGAAGTGATGGTGGTCGCGTTCTCATGAATAGTTTTCCCTTCAAAAAAAAAACTATGTTGTTTTGGTTCAACATAAATCTCTATTATATTATTTAAACAAATACCAAAGAGAAAATGAAAGATACATCAAACTGTAATTAAAATTTTCCTTGCCCTAAACATATCAAGTCAATATTACGCAGTTTTCATTTTGTTGAAAAGAAGGCCTCAAAATAAATAAATTAAAAATTAGCTTATATTAAAATAATTATTCGAGAGAAAAATTTTAAAAAGCATTATTTGTGCTTCTATATGACCTTTTTCACCACTAAACAAATTGCCACCATCGCAATGTTTAAATTGGGAAAAAAAATATTGAAAGTCCATAGAATTCCAAAATAAACTGTTCCCTTATTTTCAAATTCAGAGGCTCTAATATAATCTTATTCTAACATTTGTAAGAGAGAAAATAAAATTTATGTGGCAGCGCACTAGGAAAAATTTAGCGCACGAGGAAAAATGTAGTAATAATAAATGGACTACTTGAATTGTATAATAATAATATTTAACTTTGGCAGGTGCCAAGAATGTAGAAAAAAAGGTGAAAAGGAAAATTGTGGACAAGCAATCTATAGTATTGTACTAAGAGAGAAACCAGAGAGAGAAAACAAAAAATAATTCTAAAGGTGCCACATAGGATAAAATCTTATGTGTCATTTTTCTAATGGTTGAGTTAAAAAATATTTACAACGATTATACTAATAGTCCTTCAAATTTTATGTAAATAAAGTTTTATCAAATGAAATTTAAAACTATAGTTCAAAATAAGAAAATAAAAATTAATTAAATTCAATGGACGAGATTAATGAACATTGATGCACCAGAATTATTCCCTCCCAAAAAGAATCCCCTAAGTTACTACTGGACTCATTGAATTAATCTCTCTAAAAAACAATTCTCTCCCAATCATGTAAATCAATAGACTACAACTAAAAAAAAAAAAATACCAATCATTCAACATTAATGTTATCTTTAAAATCTTCTCCCAAAAACATGACCATGTATTTTTCGCCAATAAAAAAAAAGGTACAAAATTTGCCTTTAATTATTACTAAAAGGATGGGATTTAACTATAATTAAATGTTACCTTTTGAATTTCAAACCAATGCATTTATTTGTATAATATCATATCTACCCAAATAAATATAATCTTTCCTTAATAATATCTCAAAAATTGTTATAAACTTTATCTTTATCACTGAAATTTTAGATAATCAATTATCATCAATCCCAATTTATCTCTATTTATACATGCCACACAAGCCATGAGTATCTCTATTTACAAATTTTATGTAAATAAAGTATTATTAAATGGCATTTAAAACTATAGTTTAAAATAGGAAAATAAAAATTAATCCTTATACTTAATATAAAGTCATAGTAGGCAAGAAATTAAATGCCCAAGAAATATTCAAGGACCACCTTTAAAGCGATCTCGTCCGTCGGATGGGGTTGATTTGACATCAGCGACTTATTAAGGACAAAATCGAAATTTCATAAATATAGTTCCTCACTAAATTTTAAATTAAAACCGGAAGCTTTTAATACAGTTTCTCACAATATTAAGTCAAATATTAAGTCACTTATTAGGGCAAAAACGAAATTTCACAAATTCAGTGTACTGTTTGGTTCGTTTTTTCGTTCATTTTTTCAGAATTTTTAATTAATATCTATCCCATCCCAACATATCTTTTTACATTCTCAATACACTTTTTTAGATTTCCAATATACCTTTTTACATTACCAATACAAAAAAAATACACTCAGCGACTTATTAGAGGTAAACAAAAAATCATAAATACATCTCAATCCAAAAAAAAAAAAAAAAATCCGTAAGCTCTTGAGAAGAAAACCCTAATCATCCAAAAAAAAGGACGTCGTTTTTGCTTCTCCGTGAGATTTTGTGGTGAAAAACCCCAACCGATAAAACGACATCGTTCTATACTTCTCACTAATCATAACAAAATCCCTCATTTGCCCTCGTCATCCACCTTGTTTGCCTCACCCAGAAACATTTATATAAAAGAAAAACCCAAAAGGCTCCGCCTCCACTGCCACCCAAAAAAACTCGACGTTCACCTCATCTTTCTCTCCACAAAAAAAAAAAAAACTAAGACAATGCTTTCTCTGCCTACACTGGCACCCATCACCGTTCGTCGTCCTCCTTATTACCACAAAAACCACATTCGGCATCAGATCCATTACGTCAAGCCGCCGAAGGAGAACAACGGCATCAGTTGTCGAACAACCATCTTCACTAAAATTGAACTTCCTCTGAACAAGAAGAAAACAATCGCCGAATTTTTCAAGTAATCGAACTTGACAGAATCGTCGAATTAGGAAATTCGTGTATATGAATATAGATTTGGAATACAAATCGAAATTTATGAATCTAGATTTGGAATACAAATCGAAAATTCTCCGAATTTGTATACGGATTAAAAATCTATGAGTCGGGCTCTTCTCTTTCAAGCTGAAGTCTCTTACGCATGAATAAGCTAGATTAACAACACTGGATAAACTCGGACTACCGGTTGCAGCAAACTTCATCCAACACCTCTTCTTTCCACTTCATCCTACTTCATTTTCTCCACGATTATTGTAAGCTTCTTTTGATTAAAAAACTATTCTATTATTAGGGTTGTTCTGTTTTTGTGCAACATCGTTTTTTTTCCATATGTGCTATGAACTTTTTACAGTTGTTAATCGTTATTGTAATTCCAAAAGATCCTCCTTTTATATTTTTGGTTTAGATTCTATGGATTGCGCCCTTTTTAAGCAGATGGAGGGCTTCTCAGGGGACAACCAGGTGGTGGTTTTTAAGCAGATTCTGTGAATTTGGCGGATGGCATCTTTCTGCTCACCATCGACAACAACAACCGCTACCTCTTCATCAACCTGCACCGCCGCGTGGTGCTCTACAGGATCAGCTTCAAACACCACGTCGCCACCGCCAAATTCAGCCCCGACGGCAAGTTTATCGCAGTAACTGTTGGTAAGCTCCTCCAAATTTGGTGCTCCCCTGGGTTTAGAAAGGAATTTTTCCCGTTTGAGTTTATTAGGACATTTTCAGAAAATTGGAATTTGATTTTTCTGATATTCACAATTTAAAACATCTGCAATATTTGGTCCAAGTAGATAGGCATGACTTTCATCTGATATGTTGCCTTTCAATAAGGAAAATGTATTTCTTTACGCATTGTGGAGATTACGAAAAAGCTGATAGTTCATCATTTGTCTTATGCAGGAGTTAAAAGAGAGGATTTTGAAGTTTGTGGTGCTGAATTCTTACATTGTGAGCACACATGAATCAGGGTAATTTGCACTCCCTATATTATCATTTGATAAAGATTTGTAGACCATAATCTTTTGAGTTTTACAGGTCAGTTTGCCCTGAAAATAATTTTTATTTTGGTTCAGAGCTGCATTGACATTGGTAGTTATATCTACATATGCGT